GTTATTTGTTACGCCTCCTTATAGAGCACCTTGGTGCATCTGAGGATAGACGCTACTCGAGCCGCATGAGGAGGCAGCACATTTGATACAACGTTGGTCGAGGCGTTGATGTTCCAAAGTGACAGGGCCTAAGGCGTTTACATTTACCAAGGCATCACTCTCCGAAGCATGTTCAATCGAGGCGGTACGTAGCGGAGAAGTACCTCTCCTTAGTGATGGCAATGGGTTGAGTCGAGCTGGCTCGGCCCTTTAACCCAAGAGCTCGTTTTGGGCTCAGGGCGAGCCGAGCTCATGGCTATTGAACGACGAGCCGAGCTCGAGCTCGGCTCATTGCTCGGGGATAAGCCCAGCTCGGCCCGCGAGCGAGCTCGCCCCCGAGCTCGTGGCTCGCGCTCATTGCTTGGGGACGAGCTTGGCTCGACCCACGAGCTCACGAGCCGAGCTGAGTCGAGTCGAACCCACGAGCCGAGTTTTAACTAGCCGACGAGCCGCTCAACCTGTTTGACATCCCTACCTCTCCGTCGTCAGTTTTATGAACGAATCTTTTAACCAAATTCAGGGGCCGTTTGAGCCGCATTTTTGTAGATTATAATGAGATGAATAATATTTTTTTGAAAAATGAGTGGTTGAAAAGTTTTTGATTTACGTGTAATATTATTTTATTAAAGATTGTATGGTTAAAAGTAGTAGGGAAAAAAATTTAATTTATTGTAATGAAAAATAATGAGGCTCAAACAGGAGCTCATGTCCATATCTTTAAAAATGATGGATGTGACATTTCTGTCAAATGTCAATAATGTCACATCCCTAGTTAGAATAATTAATTGCCCGCCAACCTAGGAAGCGACCGATGGACTCCTACGAGCATACGCCTCGTACCGTCAGATGAATCAATGTGTCTTGCATCTAATGGCCCCTTGTGCCTATAAATACCCTAAGACTTAGCTAAGAAGAAAGTAAGTGTTATTCCACCACAAAATAGATATATTTTCTTCCCCCTTTAAGCTTGTGTATTCCAACGAAAATTGCCACCACCGTCAACTGACTTGATTATTGGAGATGTACGTGGCCGCTACTATCACCGCTGGGAATGGTAATATACACCTTACCATTTGTTGCTGCATGCAGGGAGGAATGCTTGAAGTGGCTCTCGATTGACCACGTGGAGGGACCAAGCTACTGGATCAAAATTATTAAATCCAATCTTGATAAAATACAAAAAGAAAGTGTATTTGACTCTTAAAATTTAGAGAGTCAAACATATTTTCTATTTTAAAAGTCAAAATAAAGAGTCTTTTGGATTTGAATTTTAAAATTTGCCTATTTGAAATAAGAGTAATGTTATTTAGCAGTACTTCTGTTAAAAAGCATTAATTTAAATAAATATGATATTAAATGATAAGTATGATTAAATGAGTCACTTAATTTTATCATTCATTGTGGTTATGACATAACATTACATAGACTGGTGTTACATTATTCTTATTCTTAGAGATGCTCCGAGCTTAGGAATAAGAAGAAATAAAAGCAAGGATAGAAATGCAAATGAGATATAAGTTAGGGATGACAAATGTAATTTAACCAAGCTTTGGGGAGCAAGGCCAAAGACCAAACCCTTGGGGAGGGCAGAGTTGGTAAAAGAGAAGATGGTCTATTCTACTTAAAACCCTAAAACCCCAACTCGCCACTCGCACTTCCACCTCCAATCTTCTGATTATTGGTTAGTAAACAAACATGAGACCTCCTAGGGGACGCGGCGGTTTTGGTGGCGGTGGCTTCAGGGGCGGCAGAGACGGAGGTGGTCGTGGCGGTAGAGGCGGAGGCCGCTTCGGTGGCGGCCGATTCCCTCCTCGCGACGAAGGTCCCCCTGCTGAAGTTATAGGTGTTTTTCTTGTCTCTTTCTATACATATAAGCAAATATACAAAGAGGTTGTATTTTTTACGATGAATGGTTGTAATATTACTTATGCAGAGGTTTCATCATTTGTTCATGCTTGTGAGGGAGATGCTGTGACGAAGCTCACAAATGAAAAAATCCCATACTTCAATGCCCCAATTTACCTTCAAAACAAGACACAGATCGGTAAAGTTGATGAAATATTTGGCCCCATTAATGAATCTGTGAGTATATCCATTTCTAAATCACCTGGATTTTATTTTTAATTTTTTGAAGTGTAAGGTTTATTTTTTATCCATTTTTTATTATTTTGGGGGCTTTATTGCAGTATTTTTCGATTAAAATGATGGAAGGAATTGTGGCCACCTCGTATTCAGCTGGGGAGAAGTTCTACATTGACCCGGCTAAGCTTTTACCACTTTCAAGATTTCTTCAGCAGCCAAAGTATGTCCTTTATTTCACTGTTTTTAAACTACCTAATGGCGTTTACATGTTAATGTGATCCATATCTCGTGAAGGTTAAGATTCTGATTTGCCTTGTTTATTACAATTTGCGTTTAATAAATGGTCCTCTAGACAGTAGAACCTTATACCATAAACACTAAAATCTTGTTGGTTGTAATGCATCTTTAGAACTATCAGCATTTGAAGTACTATTGATTTTTGCGGTGGACTTGATCATACAATGCAAAGTTTTGGCATTTTGTACCTAACCAGTGATGTGGAAAATTTTGTTGATGATTCCTTTAAGGAAGAGACATTGACTTTTCACTTTTGGAATCCCTTTAAGGAAAGTGACAACTATTGCAAATTCATTCCCGATCTTCTCATCCTTGTATATCTTAATGTTGCTTAATTTTTGAGGTTCTGGATTAGGTGTATCTGAGGATATACAACAACTGCTATCCTAAATTTGCTAGCGGAAGTAAACTGAGGGTTCTGGTTACGGAAAGACAGTGTTATGCTTTCGACAGTTTTAGATTGTAACTAGCTCTTATATCCTCAACATAGTCATTATTTACTGACATTCTATACCATGCTCCTTATCCTTCTTTCTCCTCCACTCTATTCTCTAACTAATTAGGGTAAGACTGATATGTGCTGATTATAGCTGCTATATACATCTAGTTGTGCATTAATGCATGCAAGGAACACATTACTGTGTTTTCTGACCACCTTTTAGCCATAGCTATTACCGTTGATCTCTAGTTTATATTGCCATATATTTATCTATATAACTATTTTACGCATGTTTTGCTCCTGTGTGTGTGTGTGTGTGTGTTTTGGGCATCAAGAACTCAATTTTGATATTTGTGTTTTTTTTCCAGAGGAGCTCAAGTTGGTGGTAGAGGGGGAGGACGTGGGGGAGGAAGAGGTGGTGGGAGAGGTGGTCGTGGAGGTGTTGGAGGCTTTCGTGGAAGGGGTGCTCCAAGGGGAAGAGGTGGCCCTCGGGGCGGTGGTCGTAGTGGAGGTTTCAGAGGTAGATGGGGATCATAGAATGAGTCTGCATTTTCATTGTGTCGTTTTCTTCTTTAAGCTGTCAATCCAGGGCGCTTCCTAATCGAACAGAACAAAGCATGTTATTATGATGGATTTTTTTCTTAAATGGAATTTAGTTATTATCAGTTGATCTTCTGTAAAATTAACGTGGACTCAATTTTCGATTTTATTGCACTGTCTTTATGTAAATTTGCTAAATAGCTGCATGCCCTATGGCAAATTCATTGTGCTGAAATATGATATTTGAAGTTCTGCGATAATTTAACGGGATTTCTTTATCTCTTTTGACAAGTTAGAATTCCCTGATAAAACAGTCGGGAAATCCAGCTAGCAGAGACAATAACACAAATAGAGTTTGTTTATTAAGGAGGTCAATTCAGTGTAATGCATGTGTCCTGTTAGTAGAAAAACTCATTATCAAGCACGATTAGTGTAGTGGGTGAGACAAGGTAATGCTTGACCTGTCTCTTTTGGACAGATGATAAAACTTGAAACCCATCAAAGTATAGTATGCTATTATTGTTTATATGTGGGCAGATGGAGGGATTGGTTGGATTTTTTAATTTTTTCTTTTAATATATATCCTTTTCCCTGATTATCTTTCTCTTTCCCAAATTGCCAATTTTCCCAACCCAATCATTTTTTGGCCTGATATACTGCTTTTTCGTGGATTCTCATTCTTGAAACAGAAGGTTTGTGTTGATTTGTTATGTTGAGTTTTCAATTTCGTGGGATGCCAATCTAAGATTGGCTGTAATTCCTTCTTTATTGGCACGGGGGGCTGAGAAAGTAAACAGAAAAAGTTAAGTAATTAGCTGATACAAATATCACTTTTAAGTTAAAGTTCAATGTTTCACTGTGTTTTGCCATTATGTTTATTAACGTTTACTCAGTTTAAGGATTGCTGGTAATTCTTATCCAACTGGTTATTTCTTAATTCAAATGCTGCATTGTTGTATTTCAATGTGATTTGAATGCATATAAGTTTGAGTTGGAGTTGGAGTTGGAGTTGGAGATGGATCATAGAGCAAGATCTTGAGCTACTTATCCTCTCACTGCTTTGGATCTGCAAATTTTCTTCTGTTTTAGGGTGTTCACTAGATCTGCAAAATGCGTATGAAAACTTTGTGAATAGAGGATTGTTTTCTTCTCGTGTTAGTGATTGGTGAAGCTAATAATGATTTTATAGCTAACACAGTTGTCTTAGACGGTTGTAAGTTTATGTCAATTAAAAGTTTGATTTTATGGCTAACACAGTTGTCTTAAACAGTTGGTTGTGAGTCTCAATGAATTAAAAGTTCGACGTGATTCGGCTATGTTTAAAAAACTTTTGCTGTATCATGTTTAAGCTGTGTTGTATGTGTTTTTCTTCTGTGGCCATTATTTATGCATTGTTAGAATAAATTCTTTCTTCTGCTCTTCACAAGCAGTGTTAGAATGTTTTATGGAGCAGAACTTTGTGTTTCTCACCCACTGATATTTTATTTGTCGTTAAAAGTGCATTGTATCTGTTCCTTCACCACACAGCAAAATTTATCTAAAGACATATCTCCAATAAGCAAAAACCTAATATCACTTACTAATAATAATTTCAGGCCCAGCAAAAAGGCCTCTAAAATTCCATATTATAAGAATCCGGGAATTTTTCAACCAACAGTTGAAATTGCAAAATTCTTCAGCTGATAACAAAGATAGAAACAAACTCTCTCTTGCAAATAGGAATAACAAAAAATGGGAGGGGACTTTTGTTAAAGCCTTAATCTTTATTAATAATGAAAAATTAAATAAGCTTCTCA